ATATCGCGATTTATATGCGTGCTTTCGCTTTTTCTAAAATTACCTTTCGACGGAAATTTTGGAAATTATATTCAATTAAAAATTCCAAACAAACTATATATATAAATAACAAGAAATAATGGCAAAGCAACAAAAAATTATACATTATTAATAACAAAACAGTTAATAATTAAACGATAATTTTAAAATATCGATATCAGTCTCCTATATATAAGTGTCTCAAAGAGCCAAAATGCGACATGCAACCATGCAGATCTACATGAACTGATGTATAAAAGTACAGCGGCTTATGACTTTGCACAAACATGTAGAATATATATAGCGCTTAGAAATGCAATTTCAATTTAATATATTTTCATGCTGTTTATATCTTGCTCTATCTTGAGACTTTGCACTATCCTTGGATCACTGGTAGACAGAACAGATCCACCGAACGTGAAATCATTAAACTTACACCAATTAACAGACTTTCTTACTAAAGCAATCGATAATGGAGAATTCACAATTGGTATTTTCCTGGACTTATCAAAAGCATTTGATACAATTAATTACAAGATTCTGACACAAAAACAAGAACACTATGATATACGGGGAGTAGCTCAACTATATAGTTTCAAAACTATTTGACAAACGGAAAAGCAAATTATCAAATACAATCAAGTTATAGGTCAAAAGAGATGTTAATTCAAACTGGAGTCCCACAAGGATCAATTCTTGGAACTATTCTATTTTTACTACATATGAATGACATTGAAAATTGCAGTAAGCTATATACATTCATTCGTATATCATTTGCAGGAGATACTAATATATTTTATAGAAACAAATGTATTATCATTGCTCTCCTGAACAATATTCGTAGAGGTCAGTATGGACCTTTATCTTTGCTTGGCCGTATCTCTGGTTCTATGTGTCTAACAAGAATAGAAATACCACTCCAACTTAACGTGTAAACATCTTTTAAGATAAGTAAATCTTATTGATGCACAACTGAAATTTAAACAAGCTGCACGGAATAATCCCTAGTGTCTGATATTTGGCCATTTGCAACAAAATTATATCTATATATATATATATATATATATATATATATATATATATATATATATATATATATATATATATATATATATATATATATATATATATATATTCAGTGATATTTTCTACCCTCGCTTGGACAATATATGTATAAGCTATATGTATTTCTTTTGTAGCCAAGCACCTAAACTCTCCGTACTGCATTACTGCAGATTGTGCACTCTGTGATTTGCACGATGGGCCCCTTATATATTCGCTTACCTCAGTCAATTTGCACGCTGATTTGTGTTCTTTACTTTATGACAACTTCCACAGCTTTATACAGCTCTTTACACAGTTATACACTGTAAAATGCATATCTCGCCGACAATCAATATTACCGTGAGTGTCGCAATCGATTGATCAGTTTATCCAAGAGTAGCCATGCAGTTCGCCCAAACCCTGCGGGAAGTTCCTTCGTCAAAAGCTGACAAGTTCAGGAAGTCGTACAGACACTCAAACAATATAATAAGTACAACAAACAATGTAAGCAGCGTCGTGAAGCGGCCAGTCGTAATGTATTCCGTGCAAAATATTGCTCCATATCGGTTAGTAGCGTAGCTAGGAAAAAAATGATTGGGCATGCTAATTGCCGAGTATATACCAAGCTCACGAGGCGCCACCATGGTTGGCGCAGAGCGAAAACAAATATTAAAAATAGGTACGCAGTGCGTACATGTTGCATGCCATCAAAACCATGAAACCTCATGACTCAGAATACTGTACAGAAGTCCATCTATGGAGATGAATAGCACTTACGCCATGAATAGCACTTACGTCATGAATAGCACTTACGCTATTCGTCGGCAAGTACTGTAAACAGAAGCAGTCACTCCCTGGCACAGAACAAAGACACACAGAAGGTCGACTCGAGTAACCGCTACCAGGTCCCAGCCAGTGCGCGCCCGAGAGGCATTCCCCCCTGGACGTCCACCATATTGAATATTATCAGGGGATTGAATGCCTCCCAAAGACGTATCGGCCAGGACCATGGCGTCAGCATGTTGATGACGAATTACGGTCACGTCAAAAGCATTGGAAAATCATAGGCAAATGACCCATTCTATGCCCTGGTTATGATGCGCTATCGCTCATAACTTTTGGTATGACTGGCCTAAAACTTAAAATATTGATTCAATAAGTTTAATATCAATATATTTATTGAAAAATAGCTATTATGTCAAAATAAGAAAACTTAAGATTCTCACGCGAATAGGCAATGTTTTTATGAGCGACTGTTCATCGTTAGTTGCAAGCGACGGTAATATAAAACAAGGTCAAGGTTTTATCGAAAGCGATTGACTGTTAGATTTCCTTTACTATTTTATAAGTATTAAAATAACGTTATTTCCTACAAATTTAGCTTTATTGTAGCTTTATTGAAAGTATAAAAATCCATGGAAACGGTGAATTACTACAGATTGAAAATAATTGCTATGATTGAAATTATCGACGTAGAATGCTATTTCGTTGTATTAAATTTCAATAGTATTAATGAGAATTTTGTTTGATATTTTTAATATATTTCATGTTATTTACAAAATGTACTGTAGTTTTGAAGTATTGCACACAATATAATCAGTGTGAGCACAATGACTCCGTTTCAATTTGAGCATATATAAAAAATTTAGTATTTTGATAGCGTATAACCTTCACGATATAAAATCGATACTGTAATTGAATCCTTAGGAGTACATACCGACAAACACCTTTCTTGGTCAACCCATATTGAGAAATTAACTAAGAAAATTGCTTCAGCAATTGGTGCATTAAAACGTATTAGACCATTTGTAATTATATAAGTACGAGAACAGGTTCAGGTGTATCAAGCCTTGATACAACCTCATTTTGACTACTGCTGGCTCAGTCTGGGACAGTTTTGGAGCCTGACTCTCAGTAATTTCAATTTGAGGCATAATGTTTTCAGTTTCAGCGTTAGTTCAGATGTTATGCATGAGCTCATTGTAAGGCCAACTACAATGGGTCTATACAGAAGCTATATTAGGCGTAAGATAAGGGTGAGTAATTTCCCCCTTGATGAATTATAGTCTAACCCCTTTTTTCATCTGGTGAATGTAAACCATACATTTAACCCCAAAAACAAACGCAGAGAGTAGGCTACTGGGCTTACATTACAAAGAACAATGCCTTGTCTTAAAACTCATGACGAAAATGCAGAAGCAATCACTGCCGTGTCGGTGGACTATATGTGATAAAAAATCATGTTCATCACATAAATTTTAGCTTTGATTTTCTCGGCTTATACAACGTTTAGTTTTACTTCGCCAATGAACTCATCAGATGGGTCGTTTTTTAAAACGTTTTTCGAAGCGTTTGTGATTGAATTTTACATTAAATTGAAGCTTTTATTACGTATAATAACATACCTAGCGTATATATGTGATATATAAAAGTGATATTTTTAGAGGATTTTTCAATTTTAAAACTATTCTTAATAAAATTTGATTTCCCAATAATATCGTATCGTACCATGACAACTACTTTCAAAACTCACATGTTCGGAAAACATAATGGTTTTGTCAGTAAGGCGAGGGTTTCTGCATGCATGTATTTTCTAGTTAAAACACTTAAAAACACGATCATGCATGAAGTAGTGCTTTATCAGATATAAACTTAACTGCCTTTTATCTGTATTAAAATTGAGTTTGAAATAAACTGATTAAACTCTCGCATGAAAATAACTTTGCTTTCCTCTTTATTTAAAGATTTTACTACAATAAAAAAGGGCAATTAATAAAAATACACTGAAATTAGCCTAGCTATATGCTGTCTTTTTTCCCAGGTTTTTTCACTTAGGCCTAATATATACGCAGTGATCCATAGGCGTACGGGAAGGAAAAAATTAGGGGGGCAGAAAGAAATTTGCCCGACTTTTTCGGATTGTGCCCGACAAGTGTCGAATTTTTTTTTTCCGGAACAATTTATTTTGGCGACCTCCCCCCCCCCACTCCCCTCGTCGCCAAAAAAATTTCGATCAGTGTACCATTTTAGGGGTCCAAAAATTTTTCGGACATACCCATTTTTTTCGGAACATCAAACAAATTTTCCCAAAAATAAAAAAATTGACATAATTTCCCACAAAATTTACAGAATTTGTCCCATCTATTTTTATAATAACCACATACTGCCCGACTGTGAAGCGAATATTGCCCAACTGGCTTTGTTTGCCCAACAAACTGGGGTTATTCGGGCTGCCCCCCGTCCCGTACGCCTATGCAATGATCGTTGTATCTTTTATGTTATTTATTTTTATTGTGGTATTGTATGCAATACCATCTATGTAAATGGGAATGCAACATATATAAATGTTATGTTATGTATCAGTTTTTAAAATAATTATAAAGCAAACAATGCATAGAAGTTTTTGGGCTTCTTTTTCTCAAAGAGGTTTTGAAATTTACAAAATCTTGCAAAAATACAATATATTTGCAAGAAATATTTGTTATTTTGGCATTTCGCTGTCGTCGTGCAGTCGTTATAATGCAAATTTCAAATTTGACCAATCAGTGTTCGCTATTCACGACAGTCCGCTACATATTTTGAAATCAGTGAGGATGACCACCCATGCATGAACGGTGAACCATGCGACCGCGATATTTGATGAACTTTGGACTTCGCTAGTGCGTTCCTTTCCCCCGGTGTAAATAGCCGGGCGGAATTAGTACCCTCGCCCCGGGCTTACGCCCGGAACGGCGCTCCGCGTCGTTGGCTCGGGGAATAGTACTTATAATACAAGAAACAAATTTGATTAATTAAGAGAAATTTTTTTTCAAAGTCGCGTATTTGCGATGCAAAGTGTTCAAAACCTAAAATATTTTTGGCGTTCCTCTCAAAATTACTTTTTTAGCTCTAGTTTGTAGTTCACACACTATACATTTAGCAATCTTCTTAAATGTATCTGGCGGTTGAGAAACAAAATAATAGTAAAAAATTGTCAATTTAAAAACAATTGTCATTGATGCTGTGAAATTGACGCCATATTTATACAGCGATATATAAAAAGCAAAACTCACTGAACTTCAGACATCATTTCCTCTTTGGCGTACCACCTAAATCTCTTCACTTTAGCATAAATTTACAGATAATGCATTTTGATGTTTAAGTTTGTTTGCCGCTTGAGAAACGTATGAAAAATGTAAAAAATTGAATACAGTTACAACCAAGTGGAAAAGCATATTCACTAGTTTTGAGCGCGTATTACGTGACATACAAAAGATTCTCCTCTCAACAATAATTTTAATTTCGACATTTATTGTGATTTCAATCAACTAACATATTACGATTACGCAAGGACATGTCGACGCAATGTCATTTAATATATATCGTTCCGTACATGCAGCAAACAATTAATACATATATTCCAAATATTTTGCCTTAAATCCATAGTATGGCCTGTCATTTTGAGCACTGGTTGTAAATCTTACATACATGTAGTTGTTAGTCACAAATGAACCATCAGGAAGTAAAATGCCGCTCAAATTCACTTCTCGCCTGTCAGTACTCTTCGGACCCCGGTAGATTTCCACTCGATCATAACTCTGTTGTGTGTTGAAGTCTGTAAAGGAGAGGTCAATTTGTTTGCCGGGCATGTGGATAAGCCAGATACAATCACGATTGCTTGGATATTGACCCTTGAAGCCAGGACTTGTTATGGCACCAGTTGGTGCGGTCAACATTCCACCACAATCTAAAAAATCACAAGAGTGTTAGAGTAGGCTATCAGAGTATGACATATAGATCGGACATTGTCCGCGTGACAAATACTGTATGTCAAAACAGCGTGTGACTGGCTGGCATGGGGAACGGTAGGATTTTCAAAACAATGAAAAGACAATGGAACATTTCGTTCACTAAGTGTCATGCAAAAACAATTGTGTATTTTTTACTTTCACTTTTCGAAAGAGTTATGCTTTTTTAATTTTGTTTATTTAGGTTTGGCTGGTATAAAATTTAAGATAGGACAATACTACAGTGTCATTAGCATAGATCACGTGCATAAATTTAAAGTCTGCACAGCATACTGCTGTATACAGCTACGTTTACATGCTACGATTAATCGTGTGCGATTCGTATTCTGGCGTATTGAAATGGGTGCTGGCGCCATAATTCATTGCTGTTTCGTTAAAAAGAAATTTCAAATGTAGCCAGCTTACGCGTGTTTACTCAATGACATACGCCAGAAAACGAATCGTACACGATTAATCGCAGCGTGTAAACGTAGCTTACTATGCGCTATAAATTATCTGCGGTACAGAGTCGAGTATTTAGTTGGTTGGGAATGACTTGCTGTTTTCCTCCCACAAACCCCTTATGCTAAGCTTTTTTGGTCGAGCATGTGTGTCATGAGCCTCTGGTGGCAAGAACTCGCAGCCTGCGAAATCTGCATTAGATAAAACTATTATCAGTTAAATAAAACATAGGCCCGTTTCAGACGGCGTACTCTTCATGTGCCGAACTTAATTGTATTAGATGCGACACAAGAACGGCGGTGATTCAAACGGCGTACCAAATACAATGTTATTGACAAGGTCGGGGCGCATTCGCCAGCGAAACCTAAATAAAATTCAAAATAAATAAGTTTATTTTTAGACTAAAGTTAAGTTAAGTTTGGCACATGAGTGGAGCGGCGTATGAATCAATGTCGCTCCAACGTCGCATAATGCGACAAGCTCTGCCGAACTTGTGTCGAACTTTTGCCGCTCCAAATTCTGCCGTATTTAATTGATTCATACGTCGCTCTTCTGCCGTACCTAATTCATCAATTAAGTTCGGCACATGATAAGTACGCCGTCTGAAACGGGCCTTAAATAGTTAATGAAAACAAAACTTACCAACTTGAGAATATGTCAACCGGAATCCGTTACTGGCTGTAGCTCCGTTTGAAACAAATCTTATCCTCAAACTCTTGCCAGACGAGGTCAGCTCACGTGGTTTATATCCGACCCCTGAAAACTCCAGAATGGGTTCAGTTTTATCAGTATCAAACACATACAAAATATCCTTTCCAGCTTCAGTCTTGAACTCGGAGAATTCAATACGAACTTTCTTGCCAGTGGGAACCGTGATTTTCCAAGTACAGTAGAGATCGTTGTCATAGCTTGATGGGAAATTGGGAGACTCGATTTCACCTGAAGGACCGTGTTTGAATGATCCGCATGATGTAGCTAAAAGATGTTGAGATAAAATTGTGAGTGATATTATTAGGGAATCTGGCGCTTTAACTGTCCGCTGTGTTATGATAAACTTGGTTGGTTTTGGAGATTATTGACTTCATCCTCGTTCCGAAAAGCCCAGGCTTTTTACTCATACATGTTCCGGTTAAATTCACAGCCTTAAATTAACGCCGTTTTCCACTGGGCAGAATTTTCCGCGTGGAGCGGAATTTTTCTTTGTCTTATCATTTCTCGGGTGGAACTAATTACAAAAAAACAAAGAGAAATTCCGCTCCGCGTGGAAAGCTCCGTCTAGTGGAAAACGGCCTTAAAGCCGGTTTTCCATCAGGCGGAATTTTGCGGGCGGAGCGGAATTTTTCTTTAGGCCGGTTTACACGACCAGTGTTTTGGGCACGGCACCCCTAAAAATGGGCACCCGTGCCCAAAATTTTAGGCACGGCACCTCTGCCTTTTGGCGTGTAAACGTGACAATAATCGGCACCGGTGCCGCAAAATTTAAACGTGCCGAGACTTTCTCACGAGGTAGTCTCGGCACGTCTAGCAAGGGGTGCCGTGCCCAAATTTCGAAAAAAATAAAAATGTGTTCGACATCGAGCATGCGCAAAACAAATTGTCTTCTTTCCAACATGGCAGCAAGCGGCGAAAAACTACAACTTGCCAAAAAAAAAGGTTAAAAACAAATTTAAATAACACAGAATGTGAATGTTGCTCTAGTTGACTCGGAAATTTTGATACCACGTACTGTTCGTCGCTGAAGAGAGCAGTAACTAGGTCGTAGCAAATAGCTGTCGTTCGATGCGTCCATACCTCTCGAATTCGTGGCGGGTGAATACAAGATGGCACAACATTTATGCGAGAAAACAACTCCTTTCGTCTTAAAGGACCTGTGGTTATTTCGGTTAACGAGAAAACTTTTCCACTAGCCAAATATACTTTTGTTCTGTTCACAAATTGCATGGAGAAATGTTATTCCGCTTACCGGGTAAAGTTTCCGGCTGTGACATAGCACTGAATATCAATTGAATTGTAAAGTCAGTACTGACACGACAGAAAGCTATCCTGCCAAGCGGGAACTAGAGTTGTGTTCATATGGGAAAAACATTATCACTTGACAAGCGAGCTCTCGGTACGTACACGGGAAAACGTTTTGTCTCATATGAACGCAGTGTAACTTTTCATATTATTTTCATACCAAGGCAAGATCTCGTTTGTAAATTTGTCGAAAAGTTTTCTCGCTAACCGGGATAACTTTTGCCCATATGAGCCTTAAAGTACTTTTCTAGTATTGAATTGGTTTTTTCCCTCGATTTTCGGCTCATATAATACTCTTCTTCGTTCCAATAAATATAAATATATAATTCTATTTCTGTCCGACATATTTATTCTTTAAAATATACCGTCGTAAACGGAAAGTAGAGGTGCCGTTTTCCGATGGGCACGGTGCCTATCATAAAAGTGTGTTTACAAAATGTTGTCGTGTAAACGAGTAAATAGCGAAGTGGCGGTTTTGGCACGGTGCCCATTTTCAGGGGTGCCGTGCCCAAAACGCTTGTCGTGTAAACCGGCCTTTTGTCTTTTCTAATTAGTTCCACCTGAGAAATCGCAAGATAAAGAAAAAGTCCACTCCGCGCGCAAAATTCCGCCTGGTGGAAAACTGGCTTAAGGCTGGATTTCCACATGCAAAAAATTCCGTTGTAGAAAATTTTTCGCTCAATTTCTTTTGAATTGTGAGCGGTGAGGAGAAATGATTTATTGGGATAGTCACAATTTAAAGAAATCAAACGAAATCTTTAGACAACGAGATACAGTATTTCTTTTTGTTCAAATTATCTTATCTCTATATGCACATTTAAATACGTGACACATTCGACCTGCACAGAGCTTGAAGACACATGCTTCTCATGTGATCAACGATCGGAGGGAAGAAAGTAATAGTTGGGTTTCGAGTACTAACTGGAAAAAACAACATGCAGGGTGAGTTTTTCGTAGGCTTAATTGGCACTAAACTATAATCTGTCAATATATGATGGTCTGGAAGTGAGGCAAATGTGAAAGCCGACATAATAGAAGACCTTTGTTTGATGTTGAACTGTACCTCACCGTGCACAAAGCCTTTCTCTCAACGTCATTAAATTAAATATTACCCACGTATTTCAGTGCACATTTTAATTCAGCAAAAATACAATGAGATCAATCACCGTGACCGTGCACAAATTAATATAAACTCAGAGAAAAAGATGTAACACAATGACTTTTGTTTAACGGTTGTAACTCCTAATTGTTTATATGATGTGGTTTCTTTGCACTTCACTTGGTGGAATTAATATTAGAATGTTAGGGTTTGTAATCCAAGTGATTATATACATTTTAAGACCTGACCAGGAACGACTGCGAAAAATGCAGCAGAAGGTCCTCTGATAGGAATCGAACCTACGGCCCTGCGATTCCGGTGCAGCGCTCTAACCAGCTGAGCTACAGAGGCCAGCTGCTGAGCTGTAACCGTAAGTTCATGTATATATATATAGGTAATCGGGTGTGCGGGTTGTGATAAGGTGGACTTGAATGATGTGGTTTCTTTGCACTTCACTTGGTGGAATTAATAGTAGGGTTTGTAATCCAAGTGATTATATACATTTTAAGACCTGACCAGGAACGACTGCGAAAAATGCAGCACAAGGTCCTAACATTCTAATATTAATTCCACCAAGTGAAATGCAAAGAAACCACATCATTCAAGTCCACCTTATCACAACCCGCACACCCGATTACCTATATATACATAAACTTACGGTTACAGCTCAGCAGCTGACCTCCGTAGCTCAGCTGGTTAGAGCGCTGCACCGGAATCACAGCGCCGTAGGTTCGATTCCTATCAGAGGACCTTGTGCTGCATTTTTCGCAGTCGTTCCTGGTCAGGTCTTAAAATGTATATAATCACTTGGATTACAAACCCTAACATTCTAATAATTGTTTATTTTCCCGTTTTGTAGATAATATCATACATAAAAGTAATTCTCGTCTGCGATTGGTTGATTTCAGTGAAGTTAATTCCAAACAGCAGTGCAAAAACCAATCAAAATAGAGCTAAGTTTTGGCGGGAAAAATAAAAAAATATTCTTTTTTCAAAACAAACATGGCCGCATTTAGCGGTGTGGAAAGATTCCCACGCTTGGCAAGTTCAAATTTGATTGTCTCGAATACTTTTATGTAAATTATTAATACGTGATAGCATTGTAGTCTCATGAAATTTGGATAAACATGCACTCGTGAGTTTTTCAAAGACCTCAAATAGCATTCGTCTTTCGGACTCGTGCTATTTTGAGGTCTTTGAAAAACTCACTCGTGCATGTTATATCCAAATTGCATTCGAAACTATGCTATTACCTGTACTAAATTATAATAGTTAACTCTAAAGTACTCGATTCTGAATGCTTGACTTTTCCAGTAACTATAGTTAACTTTAATCATTTTTTTATACAACCGGCCCCAGACCATCATATCTTGACAGATTGTGACTAAACTCGCTGCATGTGTGAACTGCATATAAAATGCGTTTGCAATATATCCATTCTAGTCCACCCGTATCATTTGCTTACCAACACAAGTAGGTGCAGCTCCACTCCACAAACCATCTTCCTGACATCTTCTGTATTGTGTTCCAACTAACTTGTACCCAGGATTGCAATCAAATGCCAATACTTTGTTATATGTAAATGATGATCCGACTCTGAAGCCGTTAGCTGGAGCAGGTATCTCACCACAGTTCACCACTACAGAAGGAGGATATATCAAAGAGTCAACAAAAAGATGAATAGATTACCAGAAAACTGTAGAACTCCGGATACTTTAGAAAAAAAATAGAAGCTCTTTCAATAATTCAAACATTGAATAGTCAGTGAAATCCAGTATAGTGCATATACATTCTTACGAGTTAGTTGATAGTATATATATATTGCTCGAAGAAATTACCTATTTGTAAATACTGCCAAATTCGAGTTTAAATAAAGTTTTTGTATTGTATTGACTATTGACTATTGTATTGTATATTACCATTCATTTTTTCAACAGGAATGTCAGTACTGGCGTACTTAAAGAGTATTTTATCGACCTACTTGATCGATATTTTATGTCTTGGTTTAGACTTTTTCCCAATTTTGGAGGTCCAGTGGAATGCTACAATGATAGTAGCTATCATAGATTGCGTTTTCAATACCTGAGAAATTCTCAGAACACTTCGATGATGTTTTCGAGGGTAATAATAGAAGATACCGCTACCTCTTAATATGCATTTGATTGGTTAATCGGGTAGATTAAATGCATCTGAGTGGTTAATGGTAACGGTAGCGCTAGTGGAAGTCAAAATCTGATCCTCTCTGCTGCTTTTCGCTCGACACGTTGAACGAGTTTTTACTCATTGTATAGAGAGTCTTAGATTGCACGACTCGCTGAATAAAAACTAGGACTAAATGAAGCATCCGTTTGAATCCAATTAGCCAATTTTGAAACCAGAATATTTATAATGAGAAGAGATTTTGAGATCTGTCAAGTTCTGTACAAATCAAATTGCTAACTGCTTGAAAACTACTAGTTTTCAAGCAGTTACTACAGCTTCCACACCTCTTCTAACGAGTTTTATAATGTTTTAAACAGGAGATTAAATAAGACTTGGTATAATCTCAGTGGTTATTCACCAGCTTATTTAGACAAAAGAAGGGCACCTGATAATCAACTTCTATCGTGACAATACGTGTGCTTTGCCAACAATAACTAGAAGCTGTAAGAACCTCTTTTACCATGACAGAATATCACTGTAGATTTGTGGTGGTCACCCCCAATCCCCCTCCAATAATTTCTGAACGCTTTCGAATGATGGCTGAATAACTGTGTAACAAAGCTGTAACAATTTGTCAATTTCTCAACCATGAAATAATTGGTAGGCTAAAAATCAAGTGATATATTGGTTGAAGGGTCTTGTAGATGGAAATTATTGAGTGGATATTCATATATACATATATGGTAAGACCTAACCAGGAACATGCAGTTGCGAAAATGCAACTATAGGTCCCTGGCAGGAATCGAACTTGCGGTCCTGCGATACCAGTGCAGCGCTCTTACATACTAATACTGAGCCACAGAGGCCAGTTGTCGAGATAACCACAAGTTCATGCATATATACTAGGGTACTGCCATGTATAGGTTATGGTCCAATATCAAGATTTTGTTGGCATCTTACTTGATTGAATAATAATTGATGGATTGAGTGGATATTTATATACATTATTAGACCTAACCAGGAACAGCTACGACAAATGCAACTATAGGTTGCATGGAAATTAAGGCCGAACGTTTTAAGATTTCCAGCTACTAAAAGTGGCGACATGTTAGCAAGCTAATTAGTCCCTCCCAAAAATTCACGAAGTGACCACCACTGATCACCAGGAAGCAAAATATTGTACTTTTGAATTGTATTTACTGCACTTCACTCAACCAAAACTATACTTACAATTACAAGAAGGTAGAGATCCAGTCCATCTTGCTGTGCTCTGCTCACACGTCCTCATACGATGACCAACCAGTGTATAACCTTGCTGGCATGTGTAGGTGACATTTTTACCATATGTATGAGCAGAACCATGTTTGAATCCATTGTATGGAACACCTGGATTTCCACATGATCGAGCTAAAATATACACATTCAATATGCATTGAACTATGTAGTATCATCAGAAATAGTTAAAAGGTCATGGCAATGTACAATTGTTGACCGAGATTGGGTATGCTATACTGCGAATACGGAATTCGAGGATCGTTCGCGCATAGGGTACCCTGTGCTCGAATATAGGGAATTGCCACGTTCATGTGATACCTACCATGATACCATCATGCAGGCTTGCTCAACAATCATTGCTGTAAAATGTATTACATGATGCATTCAACCCGAAATATGTAAGCTGTATGTACACATTCAAAACCCAAAAATGTAATGAATAAATCTTCTTAAGCTGCTGGTTAAATACTGGGAATAACCAAAGCTTATTATGTAAAACCGCTCGAGGGACTCGGCAGCGAATGCCTCCGGCAGCGAAAGCCATGTATTGAAGCATAAATCATGCATCTATGCGTATTACGCATTCTACAGTTATTTTACACAATCCTGAGTAGCCAAGAACAGATCAATCAAACGTTGGTTGAATTTGGACAGAAAATGGATGACACATTTATAATAGGCTTTACCATGGTTACGGCTATTAGCTTGCTGACGGTCAAACACAGGGACACACCAAGGAGAAACCATAACCTCTTTGCTGAGGTAAGCAACAAAATACGACAACTCACCTAAACATTCCGGAGTAGGTGAACTCCATTTTCCGTTAGCTTTACATTTGATTTCACGTGCGCCTTCCAGGTGATGTTGCACCTTACAGCTGAAGTTGATGGTCGAGTCATATTTATAATAGTTGCCATGACGATAACCATTGCGTGGTACACCTGGATCACGGCAATCCACAACTGAAAAAAGAGCAATAAAACAATTATTTTCTGAGATCGAAGTAAACAGCTGTATATTCCAGGCTCGTATCCAGGCACTTTGGTATGCTACGCCGTCGCGTGATCTCAAGACGTACTTACTAACATCTAAGTAAACATGTATATAATTACGGTCGAGATTTTCATCAACAAAACTCATCAACATACACTCAGTTCTAACGAGAAAAGCTAATCCAGGTAAGAATGGATTTCATATACATTGTATTGTTGTTGATCGAGAATATGTTTTTTGATTTTCTTGCCAACATAAAGATTGGCGCTGTTGCCCGTATACAGTCAAATTTCCGATCAAATATTATTTTTACTTTGGATAGGGAGAGGTAACGGTAAGCTATCTTCGATAAAGCCTGGTTTCCATTTGGTCGTAATGTTTGTAAAAATGGAGTCACGATCTTCCTCAATGGCCAATTTATAATAAAACACCTATAAAGCATATATAAATCATAAGTATTCTCTAGATATAATCAATGCGCGTATTCTCAGTTCTAAAATGTTGTATTTCGGCTGATGAGAATCGTGACTCAATCTTTACGACCGTTATGAGCATATGGGAACCAGGCTTAAAAATACCTCCATTTTATCGAGTATGACGGTATCCTTCGAGTATATACTGTGAAGATCGAGTTACGTTGGGACAATATATATCTTACTTAGAGCAGATTGAATGAATTTCGTCGATTTCAACTGCCACTATACTTACGTTCACATGTAGGATGAGATCCAGACCATTGTCGTGATTGTTGACATGTTCTGAAAGATGTTCCCTTCACTTGATAACCAACATCACATGCAACACCAACTGTGGCATCTTGCTCTGTTCTGAATCCATTTATTCTGCCATGAGCTGGGGCTTGAAGTGGTGGACAATAGTTTGCTGAGAAAAAAGGTCAAACATTAACCAATTAATCGATTACATCATTTTTGGCAACGGGGGACCGGAGAGCCCGTCGCCCTCCCCCTCCCCCCCAATAATTTCATCACACAAGATTCTGTTTCATAGCAAACTATTGAACTTTTTCTGGGAGAGACAATTACGATACAGCCATCTGTAATAGTTTCGCGAAAATGTTTGGCGATGTTTCCCTTTTGCCCCCCTCCTCCCGTCAGTCGACACGAAATTTGGAAATACTACGACGGAAAATTGATTTTTATAGGTCGAGAAATTCCCATCAACATGCACGGGGCAATTTTGAGGCCCCCCACAAACCATTTCTCAGAACAGGGAAGCATCAGGGCGAAAATTGTCGAAGATTAATAAAAAAAAAATGTTTTGGATGACATGCCAACCTGATCAGAGTGAACTTTATCTAAATATGGACCGATTCTATCATACCAACAATAGCTTATCATTTTCCGATAATTATTATGAAGAAGCCATACTGTATACGTGTTTAAAACACTTGAGTACCATGCATGCAGTCCTCCTGAAATATTACTACATTGATTTTCGATGATGGCAAAATTATGCCACATACGCATTCAGATTGCTGGCATTTTTATTTTATTGTGTGGAAAGAAGAAGTGGCCTACATGTATATACTGTATGCATTGGCTGACATATTATAGTAAGACATTGATTTCCTGGATTACGCTTTGAAAATGAGTAAGAAAACGACAAATATCGACTTAGTAAAGTAATTTACCATATTTTTTTCTGTGTTGGTGTTGTGTACTCAGGTGAATTTGATATTTGTGATGTTACTCTGAGTGTATATCTTACCCGGTGTGGATATACACTCAGAGTAACATCACAAACATAATTTACCATTGCTTCACATTTATAGCCTGTTTAACGTCGGAGCAACAAAATATGCTACAATGTTCTGTTCATGGCATGGTTTCTCGCGAGCTCAACGATGCACTCTTGCCCAAGATATGTTGTCTTACCAAGTTTACCAAATGGCATTCGATCGGCAGATTTATTCTAATTATTCGCAGTCTCAAAAATCCTTAATCATGCAGAGTTCAGTGAATATTGCATGAACACTATGCTAATACATCACTAAAAGCTGTTCTAGTTTTTACATCACATTAATTAAATTAATCAAGGTTAGTTTTTGGAAAACTCAGTAAAGTCTCAGTAATAATTAACATACCTTACTTGTATTAAAATTCGCGTCGTACTCATTTTCGCTCAGCTTTAAATTCGAGCGATTTAATTTCGGGCACATTGTTGAGACTTATTCGCGCAGCTTTAAATTCGCGCAAGTAATTTTCCGTGTTCGTTCTTTTTGGTTTTGTTTAATAGACCTATGAGCAATTAACGCATTTATAATGAGTATTTATTATCAACAGATACTTCAATATTTGTTAAAACTTAATCAAAAAGCGATTATAGGTGGCCTCAAAAAATGGCTTCAAAATTATGTAACGTAAGCTAAATTCATGATACCAATTAATAAAGCGCGTGTGTTCAAAATACCAACAAGAACTGAAAAAATTATTGTAGGGTTCTCATAATGCAATAACATAATGCAAATAGTAAAGCAAATCAGTTAATAACTCAACTGATTTGCATTACTAAAGATGAGTGTCTCATATTACACCACAAAGCCTTTCGCGCTGTACTAAAATTCGCGCACCCATGGCCAGCGCTGCGCTAATTCTAGTACTGCGCGAACTTTTAAACAAGTAACGTATATATAAAGGGCATAAAAAAGCAGATGGCCGACATTGAGTCTGATAAGATAGCATATTGTTTTCTACATTTTTACTTCCAAGAAATACCATGTCAGTATAACACTTGATTTGCGGTTGATGACGAAACCCCTTTCTACCAAAAAATCATAATCGCTGAATACTGTACTTACGCACGCAAAGAGGTTGTTCTCCACTCCATGTGCTGGTCTTATCACATTTTCTTGCAGCAGTTCCCAATAGTCGGTAGGATGAGTAACATGTGAACGTCACCCGGCTGTTATAACCGTTGCCACTGCCAGTGATGTGACGTTTGGAAAAATCAACGGTACCAACAGTCACACATTTAACAGCTACATAATATAATGATATTTCTTAATAAGTTATTTATTTCCGGAGTTCGGCATTGCCCACCAAGTTTTACTGTGAAACTAAGGCCCCGTTTACATGAGACCGGGACGAAAATAACTAACATTTCAATTTATTCCCCCTTGCCATGCAATTTTCTTTTTTAGATGGCTTTTGTTAGCATGTGTTGTTCCAATGTCAAGGCTACAGCTGAGACCGGTCTGAATTGTACTTGTGTTTACATTCATCCCGGTCTGAAGCCAATCGGCTCGGTCCAGCAGGCGGAATGACTTGACCACAATATGATTCGTTCTTTTAATTAGGACTTCTTGATGGAGCTAATATTTAAATGTCAGCGTCGACATGTCTTCATGAGCGCACTTAATATGCAGTAGATGGCGCTGACTGAAAATTGGCCTGAAACTTATTATTCATTAGGTATCACCACCTCACCAATTTGTTTCTGGTACTTGTTAAATATAAATAATAACTTACGTTTACACTGAGGCTGAACCCCAGACCATTGTCTATCAGCCATACAAATCCTTTCATCTGATCCGACAAGTTTGTAGCCGTCAGTACAAGAGAATGACACAGAGTTTCCAAGAATTGAAGCACCATTCATTGAATATTTGCCATTACTTGGATGAACTGGGTTAGGACATCTGACCTCTGAAGAAAAGGACAACAAAAGATGTCATTTTGTAATGGGGATCGATATTCTACATTATGTCATTATGATAATACTGGACAAAACTGTTATCCTTATTCGCATTTCTTGCATCAATGACATAAAGTATACCAAATTTGTGGCTTTTAGATTATCATAAAACGTGTCTAAAATGCACGAAATAGCGTCTCGCAAACCCTAAAAATAGAAATTTTCTGAAGGTTGGACCCATGGTTTTTCTGTGTATTGGACGATTGCACCCCTTTGAGTCGCAGACGTTAATGAAGGTAAGTTTGTTATTAATATTGATGTATTGTTTGCTTTATAATTGCTTTAAAGACCTTTAAAAACTGATTACCCTTTTTTATTATTTTAAAATCTTTACATAAATAAAGAGAAAAGCAAAGTTATTTTCATGCAAGAATTTGAAATCAGTTTATTTCAAATTTAATGTTTAGCGATAAAAGGCAGTTTAGTTTTATAAAGAACATTTTAAAACGTTTTGCGAAGCGTTTGTGGTTGAATTTTACATTAAATTGAAGCTTATACTACGTATAATAACATACCAAGCGTACATATGTTTGGGAAATTTTGATCATTTTGTAATTAAACGTGATATTTTGGAGGATTTTTCAATTTCAAAACTATTCTTAATAAAATTATCGTGTTACCATTCAAGTGAGGCGAGGGTTTCTGCATGCATGTATTTTCTAGTTAGACAATAATTATTGTTAGGGAAGCACACACAAACATCTTTCGCTTCGGACGAGGCTTCTCAACAACATTCAATTCTCGATGTCGATGAAAGGTTATTTAGTTATCCCTTTAGCCATAACAGACCACGTACAATTCTAATTCTCATAGCAACAGGTCATGTTTTGCAAATTTTCAATGACTTGAACTATTCGAACCTTTTGAAATGTATTGTCTTTAGGCTATTTAGATGCAGGTTTATTAGCATAGCAAGACCAGTTGCCATGGCTAGCTCCGCCATTGACAATTCGCGACGTCGGATATCATTACCTTCACAAGCAACGCCATCATTTTGCAGTATATAGCCATGTTTACAGTAACATTGACGGCCAAGGTAGGTGTTGAGACAGTGATGAGCACAGCCACCATTGTTTGAAGCACATTCATTCTTGTCTGCAAATAGAAACAAATAGATACAAATAGAAGTAACAGCGGTTATAGTCGGGGTCATGTTGTTGATGAAGAAGGACGTTTATAAGAGAACGCAGAAGACAACCAAGTGAACCAAACTCGACTTACAATTTAGTTTCAAAGCACATTGACGTTACCTAACCAAACCATTGTCCTTTTTATCGTTGCCGTTATGATCGTTTTCGTGCTTGTCGTTGTCTAATTTCTCGTTGTGATCTTTGTTTGTCGTGATTGTTTTTGTTCTGCTTGTCATTGTCGTCGCTGCGATCGTTGCCGTTGTAATCGATGCTGTGATCGTTGCCGTTGTAGTCGTCGTCGTCGCTGTGATCGTTGCCGTCGTCGTCGTCGCTGTGATCGTCGTCGTTGTTGTCATTGTTATTGTTATTGTCGTTGTCTGATTTGGCGACGAGATTCGTTCTCTCCACATGTTCGTCATCTTCTTTCGCCATTCCGTTGTTTTATTAGAAGATTTATCAGAACTACCAATATCATTAGAGAGGTTCAGAGGCTCTATCATTAAGGGACCATTAACCAATCAGCTGCGTTTCACCTACTCGATTAACCAATCAGGTACACACAGAGCAAGTGAGAGATAGCAGTGGTGGAAGTTAAATCTGAACAGCTCTAATGTGAATTTGGGTACGGCTATGAAATTCATAAGGCGTCAGTACATGCATGATGACGTAAGAAAAGAGGATGATGTGGCGTATCCAATTAAACGAATATTGTGGTCGTATTCGTACTGCTCTGTTACTCAATAACCATGACTGTTGTCATAAAACAACAATTCGTTGTTACGACAATTTTTACTGCGATTTACAGAACGGGTTTTGTTGTAGACCCGTGCTATCTAAACGGAACGACATCCTTTATTCTATTTCTTTCATTTTCCATCCTTTACGATTTTTATCTGCAGTTTGCAGCGGAGGTAGCCTCGTGTAACATGGCCTTTGCTATCCATAGAATTCGATTTTATAGTTTGTTATATTTGTTAACAAGGGCCCGCAGTAATTGGTTTATACTGCTGTGGTGTCCCCGCCATTCGTTGTTAGATTCAGAAGTAATGTATATGTTCTGCTGTTGTAATGTCATGTTTGTTTGTATGCACGTATCTGTTGGCGAAGTTTAACAAACAAATAAATAAATAAATAATCTTTGTTTGCGATCATCTTTTTTTCGTCATTGTTGGTGTTTTCCTCATTTCGTTTGATATTGTTATCGTTGATGTTGTAGTTTTGATTGTTTTCATCACAAATACAAAATGTTGCATAAAACTGACCTTCACATCTCGTTCCAGAATTACGCAGTACCATTCCGGAAGGACAGGTACATTGGAAAGATCCTTGCCTGTTGATACAACCGTGACTGCAGACCTTCTCTGAACATTCATTGATGTCTTAAAAGGAAAAACCTACGGTTAATATTTTGAATACACAATATCGCTTGTTATAGGGAGCTGTGTCACTGTGATGGCAGTTTAATTGATGAACTGTCCAAATTTGGGAAAGAATTAACGTGTTCGACTTATTTTGGATAATTCCTAGCTAACTTACCTCCCCAGGAATCGCCTTACATGGGTGGCAAGAGTTTCGTCGCGGACAAAATAAACCGATGATGATTTTTTCCGGTAGAGGGATAAAGCCTCCTAAATTTCTGATATGGCTGTTTTTATCGTTTCGGTTCCGATAAATCCCCGTGACGTAAGTGCATGCATGCCCACGTCTAGGTCTATGTCTAAATGCGATCTTTGAACGATGCGAGTAATGAGAATGAAAAGAGGTGAGTAATGTAATTGAGAAATGCAACAATTATATACCATGGCAAGTCTTTCCATTGTTGCTCAGTCTGTATCCAGCAACACATGAACATTTGAAAGTCCCCGGAAAGTCAGTGCAATGATGGTTGCATTCTGATGTTCCCGCTGTGCACTCGTTTATATCTAAATAGAAATTGAAACACATATCAATCATAGATATTTTTGCTGAAGTACTATCTGATAAGCGTGTTTTAAAAGACCAAGCGTATGTGTACATGCGTAAAACTTGAGGGTAGGGTGGAGAAGGGGGGGGGGGTTGTGTGACAGCCCCTAATGTTTGAGAAAAGCTTTTGTAGGGAAAATATTCAACAAGTTGTTGGGCAAAATACATTCAAATTGTAACACCTTCCCTCAAAGTGCATGAAATGGCGTTTCATGACTCTAATTTTTACAATTTTCTGGGGAGCATGCTTCCATACCCCGCTAGGGATCTCATGCCTTGGCATTCGATACAAGTCCCTAGGCGCACGGCGCCAGATCCACTGCGAAGAGCAACGTAGCATTGGCCTGAAGGCGAGGATAATGTCTACGATGCTACCCTTGGGATCCCCGTAAACGTTTTTAGTTTTCGCACCATCTTTACGTTCTTCTCCCATGCACCACAGCCTTTTTGTTGGGCAAAGCGACTCCACATCCCCTTAGTGTTTAAACCCAAGTTACGACTTGCGGAAATCTAGTGCCGCTCCCATTTTCAGATTTAGAATGCATGTTACACGAATGTTACTATAAAAAGTCCTCCAAACGAAGTAAATAACACTTACTTTGACACCATGGCACTGCGCCAGACCATTTTCCTTTTGAACACGTTATACTAGAAGCTCCATGAAGTTGGTATCCCGAGTTACATGAGTAGTGGACAGTGCTGCGGGCCGTGAACCGTGTCCCGCTTCGTTTGCCGTTAACTGGAGTTCCAGGCACGTTGCATCCCATCTCTAGAAATAATTAGGTAAGTTGAACAAAATAATAGATAAATTTTCCTCGGAGCCAAGCATCTGTTTTCAAATGAAAGAATATCGATCTATTGAAGGTAATAGTTTATCTAAAATATACTACTTAAAATAGTAAGATTAATTTTGATCAAGAGTTATTCGTCAGGAAATTTACTTCCTGCTAAACGGTTTAGGTTAGTACAAACTCAAAGTCAAAATACAGCAGCTCAAAGTAAAACTTCTACTTGTTAGAGAAAGGCTGTATAGAATTGTTGCAATTAAATCACTTTAATTGTTTACATTGTGTATTGCACTTTTGCCTCAATGGCCTCATTTCCATGTTTGCTTGTTTTAGCATGACAGGCGTATATAAAAGTTATATCCCCATGTTTCGTACACAATTCTGATTCTCTTTGATCTTGAACCGAATCACAAACCTATCCCTAACTGTACTGTGCATGAACTAAATGAGGAAATAACCACATGAAAACGAGGCCACTGGGATGAGTATGCAATGAACAGTACAGTCTACTTGTACGGAATAAACTTCAAAGAGTATTCAAACTATGTACATTATGAAGAAACAGCGAAAAACAGAAATCTACACTTGGAAGCATTTAATAAAGAAGATATATACCTGTAATTATATATCTAAATATTGTAATTATATATAATTATTATAATAGAAATTATATACCTGTTTGACAGTTACGACCTGTGTACCCAGAGGGACATTTGCAGACATATCCATATGGCACTGCAATGCATGACGCTGCGCCATGGCATGGGTTGGGAGAACATGAACCTGAAAATATGAAGAAATTGATCTTAGGGCTATAGACCCATTGCACATGACATCACAGCGCCGGTGACGATGCATCGGGAGGACAAATTAGCAATCTATGCATAATATAACGTTTGTAAACAAGGCAAATTTTGTAAAACTTTATAATCATTTTGTATTAAAATGGTTAATTTTTGCGCTGTATGTGGTTGTTGTACCCGAACAGATATTACCAGGGAGCATCTGGAGGACATTCTAAGGATTTTTGACGTCAGTGAAATGGGTCTATACCATCTTTACCTACGAGCCAATGTATTTGCTGATTCGATGTATCTGATTGGTGATACTTTTCATTAAATAGTACAAAGTAAATTAAGTAAGTAAGCTAAACTTATCCAAAATAGCAGTACTGATAATACTATAGTGCCAATGCAAAAAAAAGGGGGTATGGGCGGGAAAAATTAGGGGGCAGGAAGAAACGTTTGCCCGACTATTGGGCATTTTGCACGACTAATCAAAAGAATAGATTTCTTGCATTTTACATATTTCTTGCTTTTAAATTTATTTCCCCCACCTTTTTGCTCCACTTACGCGCAAGCTTGTATGCAGTTCAATTAATGTCTACCAAATTCTCTGAATCCTTTTTCTATTGTTATTAGCAATGCCAGCGATAACAAATCAATATGATGCAACCATCATACCTGAGTGAGATGCCTTGACACTGGACATATCTGAAGGAGCACCCTCTGGTTCTATATGAAATTTATATAATAATATTAAGAATTCAAGCGCTTTCATTGGTCGAGAGCCATGATCATGAGGACAGACGCACGGAATTGCGTCACACAAAATCTTATCCAATAGCATTCCCTTATCTGACTAGATCATGCAGTGCGCGACCGACTTTCTCAAATTTCCAAATGTTTGGGTGGATAAAAAGTATACTTTATTTTTGTTCTTCCTACATTATGACGTCATACTGTGTATCTATAACTGAACAGACAACAACAAAATCTTGTCTATCTGTTAAATAAAACGTTCATAAGTTCGAAATATAGCTCGTGTATACAGTAAGAAGTGCAACAAATTAAATAATTACATTAATTATGCTATTATATAAATAGACTGTTTCTCATTCGGTTCTAACTGTCCTTGCCGAAGATCCATATACATGCCGGGAAAGGTTAGTAAGCTGACCTCAGAATGACATTTCGTCAAAACATTTTTCTTCAAGATTGGTTTAGAAACAAACTTGGTGTAGGTGTAGGTTAGGGTCGGTGAGTATTACTAAAACCGTTGTTTTGTTATTTTTTGTACTCTGAGGCGAGCGAAATAACCTCTTCCATACATGCCACCATTAGACGGCTGCGGTTTGAGAGAGATTGTTGGAAAGGATCTTCAGTTATTGACAATAGACAAACTGTTGTATGACAAACAATCCATGGATATTATGGGAAAAATGTAAGCGGAACGTCGACGTTTCGAGCGAAGGCCCTTCACAGAAGACCCAGGCTCTATTTTCCCGCGCCTGCCAGTGACTTACAGGGTAAATAGAGCCTGGGAGCCATTTACACTTGTGAGTTTTTCGATGACTTCAAATTGCACACTCCTTCGGACGTTGAAGTCTTTGAAAAACTCACGAATGTATGTTTTCCAAATTGCACGAGAATCTATACTATTAAGGATTAATAATATACATGAAACAGTTATGTAGGTCACATGCGAAATAGTTAATTTTGATATAAATAATTTTAATAGAAAATCCACTAAAAACGCCAGCCATTCTTGTTACTTGCAAATGTTTGGCTACCGAATTTACCTTATTCCACACAAAATAGTTTAATTAATTTTATTAATTAATTAATTAATTAAATTAATTAATTAATTAATTAAACAGTAGCCCGAAGTCGAGACGGTGTAATCCATTGTAAATAAGTGGTCTTATCTCTAGCGAGAAAATTTAGGAAATATCTGGGACATCTTAAAGAAACGTATACAAACAAAGCAATTTTGCAGCATGATGGGTGATTCTGGCTATAGACTAAATTTTGGTTCCTAAATGTTGTAAAATGAAGAAAATATTGCCCTGTGAAGTTCGCAAATTTTGTATATATTTGAATTACGCGCGGTAAAAATAACCACTTTCGGATCAAAAAATGCAAAATTCGCGAACTTCACAGAGCTATATTTTCCTCATTTTACAACAATTCGCAACCAAACTTTGCAATTTTACTCATTTTAAGATGCTCTTTCCAGCTATGGTAATTTCGTTCTTCTTGTCTAGATCAAAATTTCGTCTATAGCTGGAATCATCCATTATTTGGTTTAGGATAAAATACAATATACTTACCAAGAGAACACCCATACAACTCAACCCTCATTCCAATCCCATCATTCCAAGTTTTGGGTTTGAATTTAATATACCGAGCTTGTATATTTACTTGATTCTTCTTTCGACCTTTGTTGTCAGAATTGCCGCTGAAAGTCTGTGAATAAATAAACATCCATGATCTTCGAGTACGCTGAAATTAACAAATACAACGTCTGGTGGTTGTGGTGTTGAAGTCAGGTGGCTCCCTACAGTTATAGTCCAGTTTAAAACATTTATATAGCTCAGACGTCATCCTCGCGACTCGCGCGTGGAATCTTCGTGGCCCGGTAAAAATCTTGAAACAAGCCGCGGGAATTTGTTTTTGTATTTTTATCTACAAAGAAAACGCCAGTTTTTTATTATAATCCTAAACTTTTCAACATTCGAACAGTACGTATGTTGTTAGCTAGTTTTTTACCTACCTTCAGTGTGTTTTTTTATATATTTAATACGTTCAGTACGGTATTTCATAATGCTCACAATGTTCAACAACAGTGTCACGGACTGAAATTATATTTTATACTGTCTTCAAGGCACACTGTCACTGAAACTTACGTAAAACCTGTCATTCAACTCAGTTCACATGTAAATCCAATAAAACTATAATGCAGACAGTTACCAGTTGTTTTATACGAAAAGTCAAACTCTACTTGAATGTTTTGAAAAGTTTTCACACCGATTTTCACAACAAAACTAAATTTAAGAAACGTTGGATTAAGTCAGTGCATTATTGTGTTCTCAATTTTTCGTATTTTGAACATATACTATGCATATATATCATTTCAAATAAGTAAAAAATATCTGTGTGATACTTAAAGCCAAAAACTCAAAGTGAAAATTGCTAAAAAAGCCAACTATAAACCGTACGCGTTTGGTGTTCCTCACGCATTATAATTTAAACGCATGCGCAAATAGTGATCATGTCGAATCGATATTTTGTCACGTCAACAGCTTCAACTGGATTTAGGACTATTTTTCTCGCGTTTCCTTCGGTGCATGTGCTAAGCATGACGATTCGCCAAACATATCAAAATTTCAAGAAATTCTATTTGACAGATTTTTTGTAGTCGTTATTCATGAATATCTCAAAACCTGCCTTATAAACATCCATTCAAATTTTAATATGTCATTCCTCTTTCAACCATAAATCTTTTCAACCGTTTGATTGTAAAACTAGACAATAAAAGTGCAAAAGATGAAACGTCATGGTTGTCATAGCAACACTAACACTGTTCCTATTTGTTCATATATCGACAGCAGAAGACTTCTGAACTTTCCTGAAGATGATTATATTGCCCTGTCTTAAGTGTGTTCAATATAAATTTGGTTGAAAACGAAGGTTACCTAAAATACTTAAAATTTTAGAAAACTGTAGGGAGCCACCTTAAAAGTAATGCATTTATAGAATAAACATAAACAAGTATATTATCTCCACTATCTTCGTCATTATGAATGCCATCTCTCAAAATTTCCTTTCAATACACTCTACCTGAGACAAAGTTGACCACGAGTTACCATCTTGACTAAACTGTACTTGATATGACGTCACCCAATAATTATGGCCATCAGCTCCTTGTGTTTCCACTGCAGTAACTTTCATTTTCTTACCCAGATCAATTTGAAGATATTGGCTTTGACTAAATGAGCTTGGAATCCACCCACCATCGCTATCTGGTATTCCTTTAGTGTTGCTTACTTTTATTCCGTTTGCTCTGGCATGTTTAGCACTACTGAGCGAGGAGCGTGCCGAACTTGCACTCATTTGAGAGTCTGAGATGACTTGATTTTCCACACCGAGCATATCAATACAATCTATTACAAAATGCATTGATTGATAGGTTGTCACATAGTTAATAGGTTGTCAGAATTAGCCACGATGTGTTTAGTTTAGTAAAGGCGATGTTACATGCAGGGCTCGAAATAGCGGCCTGCCAAAGTTAGGCCATATTTCAGGAATGGCAGGCGAAAAGAAAATTTGACCTGCTAAGTAAAAAATAAAATGGTTGGTGAAATTCTACAAAAACAAAATGGCGTCCAATGGTCGAGGACACAACCGATTTGTAGTTTTCTATTTTCAGTTAGCGATTTGCCGTAACGTCATACCTCAGTGAGACCATTTTGGGAGTTGAAAAATAAAAAAGGCAGACCACAATTTATTGGACCTGTCCAAAAAATAGATTCTGATATGTGGTGCATGATAAAAATGAAACTTAGAAATGAAAATAAATTGATCTTGTTTTACACAACAATTTTATTGTTTAATATTGGATGCATACAGTATATTCAAAAACGCGATCGTAGACATACTGAGACCATACAGGAGTACTTGTAAAAATACAAATACGGTACTTCTTGACGGGGAAAGTGCTACATTTCTCAGCAAAAAAAATTAGAATTCCAGTCGCCTGACACGGGGGGGGGGTATGTGTGTAAATCGACTGCTTTCTTCCGACTGTTGGTAGTATACATAAATTTCTGACAAAGGGCTTTCGTTTAAAGTTTTACTATATAACTTTATTTTCGGGCAGTCACATTCTTTAATTCTTGGGTTTCGATGACGTGATATATTATCAGAATTTTACTCAAGTGGGGGTCAACCATTGATCTGGGGTCAACAAAACTGGGCTGGCAACGCATCCCACGAGTTCACTAACAACTATATAAAAGCCAATATAAAACAATATAAACAATGTGAAAGCCGTCCTTTACCTTGGACACAGACATATGACCCCCACTTAAGTGGATTTGATGCCAAATGAAATACAAGAATTCATTAAATATTGCATGTTCAGCGCTACCTAAATCGAAGTATTTATACTTACTCAGCTCATAGTAATCATATCCAGTATTATCTGGGTGTGAGACAGCAACAGTATCACGGTAGGCTTTACTTAAATAACATTTCCGTGAAGAACTGTGGTAGTCAAACGATCTACATTGAAATCCAGTTTCTTGGTTACATGACTTTCCACAATCATCTGGTGAGACATCGTGCAACGTTCTGTGGTTGTTGGATGGGAGGATGGCGTTGTATACTGTGTCATATCCACGAAGTGTGGCAGAGACTGAAAGATAGAAAAAAAATTTCACAGCTATCTTTTGCGAGTATACTTATACTATAATGTATATGACTTGGTATTTGCAACAGTTGGGTAATTGTAACAGCTACTGTTACTACTACTCGTATCTCAGTTGGTAGAGCCATTATTAGACTAGCGAACCAAAGGTCGCTGGTACGATTCCCACCGCGGTCAAGCAAACTCAGCTTGCCCGATGTGGACACACTAAGAGCAAAATCACAAACATAAAAAATACAGTAGATTTAGTGAGATGCAATTAGTCACACCAGTAATCCATGTGACATTGGCAACTTACAGTGGCAAGCGTTTGACCTTGGTGTCTTCCTATAATCTCCAGTAAATCCAGGGAGAAAGTCAGCCCACGATATAACTACAGCATCATTTCTAGCATTCATACAGCTCCCAGCTAGATTATAAACATCTTGCGAAGACAACACTGTGTTCCAGACTGTCATTTGACTCATGTCACCAAGGAATGCTTCATAAGGATTGTAGGTAAATTGGTCTTCTTCTGCTTCCCAATCCTGTTCTTGAGCAAGCACAAAATGACCTCCACCTCTGATGTAATCGCCTTAAAAGATAAATTTCAAACATTTGTTTAATAATGTAACACGACGCATTACACCAATGGGATAAGAAAGGCTAAAATTTCCAAAGTCGTGTTTACACTACCAGCCTTGCCCTAGCCTTGGCCTACATTTTGACAGTGTAAACAGACTTTGGCCTAGCCTTGGCCTGACCTAGGCCAGGAAATCTGGGCCAACTACAACCGGTGGCCTAGGCCTGGCCTAGGCTTGTGGAAATGAAAACACTTTCGGCCTTGGCCTGGGCCTTATTTCCATGGCAACGTATGTCCACAGTTAGAGATTAGCGGACAACCAGCGGACAACGTCACAACACATAAAAATACACAAAATTAATTACAAAATTCTAGGCCAAAGTGAGCCAGACTAAAAAAAATAGTGTAATGGTGTAAACGCGCCACATTTACCTTGGCCTGGTCAAGGCCAGGCCAAGGCTTGTAGTGTAAACACGACTAAAGATCACAAGGATACGATAAGGAGTTGTTTAAACGTTACTTCTTGAGACAATAAATAAATTGCTCTTCACTGACAAACTGCACTGATTGCAAAACTACATTATTATATTTTTTCAACTCATTAAAGAAGCTGCAAATGTGACTTTGGTTTGTTGGCAAACGACTCCATTCAACTCCTTACAATCAGTGTCAGTATAGTATATTTCATTAGCTTAAAAATATAAACACACCACTTGTCCTTTTTACACTAAAGGCCTGTTTAAACGGATCCAACATTGTTGTACCAACATCATTCAACAATGTTACTATAATAGATATGACTGCTTCTCTTTCAAATCTTTTTGGTTAGATATTAAGCTTTACTCAAACTCTGAACCTAGTCATGACAAAAATATTTGAAAAAGAAGCCGTGTGGGCCATTATTTCAACAATGTTGGATGATGTTGGCCCAACAATGTTGGATCCGTTTAAACAGGGCTTAAAAACTTTTAATAATCAGACCAACAGTAACAGAAGCGTGGAAAATGCTTAGCTTATTTAGCGAGCGAAACTGAGAATCATGTCGTCAGGACGTATATAGACCGCGAGCAGTTCCTCGGAAGAAAGACTGACGACAACACATCAAGAAACGAAATACGCGTGGCTCACACAACGCAAAATTCCCATTGGTCGAAATCGATGTGCCTGTCAATCAAATATAATATGTAGTAATTATACTATAAATAATTTCCAGACTGAATGTTGATTTTATAAATAAGCATGATAGGCTTAAATGAACGGTTCATATTGGATATATTTAATTGGATATAAGTAATGTTTATGCATGCCAAGGGGGGCCAACTTGACAAGAGCGAAAAGTGGGCGTATTTCGTTTCTTGATGTCAGTTGTCGGCAGTCCCTCCTTTCCCTTCGCACGCCCGGAAAGCTAAACCCGCGGAAAGGAGGAACCGTTCGCAGTGTAGGACTTATACAGGTCAAGATCGTACCTTTCGCAACGGGTTCTGTAGCACGCTTTACTTCTTTGCCGTCACGATAGTACACCCATATACCATTACTACTCTGCCACGTGACCGCCACATGATGCCAGTGCCCGTCGTTCAAGCGATCAGCGGTGTAACCGGTTTGGTTATTAATTTGAATAGCTAAATTTCCATAATCCTTGAGAACTAAACCGTTCTCCTGAACATATTTATCTAGTTTGACCGCATAAGAAACTGGAGTGCCTGCGTTCTCTTCATCACGTGTTTTCATCCAGAAGGCAACAGTGAAGGCATGCAGGTTTTCATACAAAGCTCGCTTGGAGAATGTTCTGATTTCTGATGTTGGGAATGATACGTCGTAATCAGATGAATATTCTATGATAAAAAGAGGAAGAAACAGTAAGGAAAAGCAGTGAATGACAATAATAACATGAGCTTTGATTTATAACATGATTTTAATGACGTAATATACCAATGACGTAATACCAATACACACAATATACTAAGTTATCCCCGAGCCAACGGCGCGGAGCGCCGTTCCGGGCGTAAGCCCGGGGCTAGGGTACTAATTCCCCCCAGCTATTTACACCCGAGCAAACGAAAGCATTAGCCAAGTCTAAAGTTCATCAATGAGCGCGGGCGTCGGTCACCAACGATGTTGAGTGGGTGGTCATCCTCACTGGTCTCAAAAATATGGCTGATTGCTTGTAGGAGTGGGATGAGCAAGATTTCAATTTCAAAAGATATATATTTGGAAAATCGTTTCATACACAACAAGCTTGAAGCAATTTTGTTTGAAGAAATGAGACGAATTAATTTACTATGGGAAATCGTGAAATATACGGCAAGTTTGCTTTGAATATTTAATGCTTAGTATGTTTACGAATTTTGTTGCTTTAAACTTTTTGCCTAAAAACATGAACTGTTTTCCTTTTCAACGAAGCTCTAAGTTTTGTAAATTACCGTTTAATTTGAGGACAAATCTTAAAATGTAAAGGAGAACAAATTGATTTGAAGACTGAACTGAAATTACCTAACAATTTGTTTTATTTGTAACTTAATTTAATTTATTATGTTTTATTATTAGTTCGTCGGCAAATGAACTATAGTTGAATGAACATTTCAAAACATTTTACGAAGCGTTTCAAGTTAAATTTTACATTAAATCAAAGCTCACAAAATGCAAAATAATATACCTACAGTATATATTTCGGAAATTTATTGTTTTATAGTTAAAAGTACGAATCTTTCAACTATTTTGCAGTTTTGTACAAAAAATATGAAAATATTAAAAATTTAAGAATATCCACAGGCGGCCCAATCTTACCCTGTGTTATTAATTTATTACGTTATATCTTTATATAAATAGTATATTGAAAATCATTAGAAAATCCTGTGTTATTAATTTATTACGTTATATCTTTATATAATAGTATATTGAAAAGCACTTACATGTGTTTCCTGAAAGATTTTAACGAGAACCGGCCAAGATTGGCGTTGACAAGAGGTTAACGGCCATAGTTGGGGTTGACATGAGGATTAACAGCAAGAAATAATACAAGGCTGGTCACTTTGACCGTTAATTGGACTAATTGGGACAAACGCTGACAGAAATCAATCGAATAACGCGAACTTCGGCTGTCGCATCCTCGCCAAATTACGTTACATGGGAAGAGCGATAATTTTCAAATTCGAATTACACGCTGCATTGTCATTGGTTGGCTTTCAAAACAACAACAGGACAAAGCCGACCAATGACAATGCAGCGTGTAATTCGAATTTGAA